TATTAAACCCTTAATCTAAATGTTTAAACCTAAACTTCAAATGCTGAAGTTCACATTTAGGTATTTTGGAATGGAACACAGTCTTTGCTGTTGGCGCTCGGCTAGCAGCAGCCATCGTTGTTTGTTGCAGGATGATGACATCATCCTGGTTATCTGAAGCTAACGTCTGCTAACGCTGCTGAAGATAATATCTAAAATCTAAATTCAAAATGTGCTGATAAAAACAGTATGGGTGATCCCTGTGGTCCAGCAGATTGAAGTGCAGCTGAGACACCAGCCAGAACTACAAGTTTGATGCCTTGTAGCTTTAGCTACATTGGAGCTAGCAGTTGCTAATGTCTCAGAATGATGACATCATAACATGAGCCGAGCACCAACAGCAAAGGCTGCATTCCATTCCAAAATACCTAAATATGAACTTCAATATTTAAGGTTTAACTTTTACATTTAGATTTAGTGTTTAATATTTAAATAGATTGTTTTAACATTTAAATTTAACTTTTAGTAAAAATTAGATAAATGTAAGAACAGTGAGCTAAATAATGAAAAATATGTTAGTGACATTTTTTAAATTTTCATTTTACACTTGGCCCCCCCATAAGAACATACTTAAAAAAACATTTGATAAACACATCAGGACCACAACCCACCACGTTAGACCTGGAACTGGACCCGTGTGGTCTGAAAGTAGCTAACGTTGCGCCTGAAGGCAACACTCCGCTCTCTCCTCTAATATCTGCAAAAATATTTCCGCACGTCTCCAAGGTGAGCGTTAGTTTTTACAGTGAATTTGTCTCAAAGGGCACGAAGGGAACTGAGAGCTGCTCTCAGCTAAGAAAACAAGTGGAAGATTGTTTCCGACCTGTGGGCGTCACACCATGAGTGGTCCGATTGTGCAGCTCCGCTCGGCCTCGTTAGCTGGAATTTCTGAGGCTGGAGCCGGAGTCGAGGTTTCCTCGGGTCAAACTTCCACCTTTGCTTTGTTTTAATGAGAAACAGTCCGCCGGGACCTTTTCTGGTTTCCATCTTTGGTGCTTTCTGGTCCTCTGAAGGCCAGAAACAAGACGAGCGGCTCAAACTCTCCGGCTGAGCAGTCAGAGTCCGATGCTCTGGTTTGTTGTCTCAGCTTTACAGAGAAAAGCAACAGAAAGATCCTCTCTCTCCAGCCTCAGACAGGCTGTTTCATTCAGAGGTTTAAACTCCCGGAGATGTGTCTATATTCAACCAGGTGTTGTTTTCTGGTCATTCGTGTAGAAAAACTTTGTTTTAAACCAACAGAAATGTTTTGATCAGAACCGGGCTGTCGTTGGGCCTGTGACGTTAGGAGCAGTAATTATCCTGACAGCGAGGTTTTTCATTCATCATCTTCATGTTTTAGTTTTTTTTAAGCCGCTCTGGGTTTTTCCACTGTAACTCTTCAGCTGCCTCGACTCGACCAGGCGTGTTTGTTCACCAACATTTTCATCTCGCGATGTTTGCTACACTCTCTCGCTCCATCAGAACTAAATGTGAAATTAGATTTCACAAATAAGATCTAAACGTGTGAGTTTTCATTCAGACACGACTCCAGAGGATGTGGAGGTTTGGAGAACTTGATTTCTGATCTACAGACAGGTTTTATCACAACAAATGCTCAAACTAAAATAAAAAGAAAATAACTGCTGAACTGAACAAAACAGTGACTGAAAGTTTTTAAAAGATGCTAAAGATAAAAATGCAAAACATGTGCTGGAATTGGCTAAACAGATGCTAAAGCTAATGAAGGTGCTGAAATACGATAAACGGGAGCTGAAGCTAAAACATGCTGACATTAGCCAAACAGATGCTAAAGCTAAAAATACTGCAGAAAAATGTTAAACGGGAGAGCTCAAACAATAGAAAAGCTTTTTAGCTTAAAGCATCACAAAGAAATGCTAAAGCTAAAAAGCAAAAGAGGTGCTAAAATTAGCCAAGTAGATGCTAAAGCTAAAAAAGGTACTAAAATGAGATAGACAGGCACTAAAGCTAAAAATAAAACATGCTTAATATAGCCACACAGATGCTAAAACTAATGAAGATGCTAAAATATGATAAACGGGAGCTGAAGCTAAAACATGGGCTGTGTCCAAAACGGCAGGACGGGTCCTCCGAAGGTCGAATTTGTCGGCCGCATACGTCACAGCGCCGCGACGAAGGACGTCCAAAACGGAAGACTCCTCCGATGCGTCCGAGAAATACGTCCTTCTTTTTCCCCGAATCGAAGGACAGGTCTGATGGATCCTTCCCGGCCCAGCATATCCCATAATGCATTGCGGCCCGACCGGAGATTTTTTTAAGCTAGTAATGGCGGACGAAGCGAGAGAAAAGAATACATTTTAAATAAAAATATGGTGATTTAAAAATTAAAAAAAATTAGCGGTTGTAATTCTAATACTTTTATCATTTGTATGGACATGTTTTTAAATATTATTTTTTCGTCATAAAAAACGCGAAATAAACATGAACCTACAGCGGGTCAATTAGTTCTTCAAATGATACTTTTAAGTTAATTTTATAGTTTTGTGATATTAATAATGCTAATGTATTGATATTTTTCTAGTTTTGATTTAAGTTTGCTTGTTTAGCGTCGTCACAGTTGCTAGGTGACAAGACGTACGCCGGGGTAAGGASGGGAGGCTAGACCGTCCAAATCCACAGCCTCTTTTTTCCGGTCTTCCCGGTCTACCAAGGACCCGGCCTGCCGAGACCAGGGAGTCTGGGTCCTCCGGAGGACCCGTCCTGCCGTTTTGGACACAGCCATGCTGACATTAGCCAAACAGATGCTAAAGCTAAAAGTACTGCAGAAAAATGCTAAACGGGAGAGCTCAAACAAGAGATAAGCTTTTTAGCTTAAAGTATCACAAAGAAATGCTAAAGCTAAAAAAGCAAAAGAGGTGCTGAAATCAGCTAAATAGATGCTAAAGCTAAAAACGGTACTAAAATAAGATAGACAGGCACTAAATCTAAAACTAAAACGTGCTTAAATTAGCAAAACAGATGCTAAAGAGCTTAAAAGAAAGTGCTGAAATAAGCTAAACAGGAGAGCTCAAACAATGTGGCTAAACTTAAAGACGGTAAAGCTGGGAAAGCAACACAGCTGCTGAACTGAACAAAACAATAGCTAAAAACAGATGCTAAAGCTTAAAATGGAAAACGGGTGCTGAAATCAGCAAAACAGTAGCTAAAAGCATCAAAACAGGTGCCACTCCTGAAATGGTTAAAACAGATTAAAGTAAGTGGGTTTGTGAACTGACTACAAATGTGCTGAAGAATCCACAAACAGGAAACAGTATAAATGCTGACTCGGCGTTCCAGGTAGAAGAAGAAGAAAAGATCTGTTCAGCTCTAAAGTTTAGCCTCAGTTTGTGTTTTATTGTTTTAGCGCTCCGGCCCTCCCTCCTCACTTGAAGCAGCTGATTTATGTCCGGTCCTGGTCCTGGACACTTGTGGCTGGAATTCAGGGAATGCCCCCCCAGTCCCGTTCACATGCAAACAACTGGAGCAGGCGCCTGAGCGGGCCGATGAAGGCCCACCGACGCTCCCACAGCGGGGCAGGCAGGCAGAATGTCAGGAATGTCCAAAGGAAAAGAGAATGTTCTGTCGTTCTTTCTTTTAGCTCTTTTGTTTATGAAGCGGTGCAGATTTTAAAATTTGAAGTTGTTTCTTAGAAAGAAGCAAAACAAAAAGTTTAAGAAAAATGACTTTATTTGTGTTATAATTTCAAAAACACAAAAATGCATAGTGTTCTTCTGCTTAAATGTGACCAAACAAACAATAGTGCTTCACTCAAACATGTCGATTAGATCTGAAACTCAAAAGACAACGTGACAACACCAATCCATGTGATATTTTAAAACCCAACGGTAGCAATGAAGCTGAAACCCAAAAGCTCATGCATGTCTGGAACGTGCTGTAAACAAACCCCAGAGGAACCAAAACTCCACAGAATCAGTTTTATTCAGAAAAACTGGAGCAGCTTTTCGTCTTGTGGCTGATTTTCATCTCAATGATATGTCCAGACACCATCTTGATTACTTAAAAATTTCTCTCCTCTCATGGCTAGAAGATCGGTCTACATCTACATTCGTCACCGGGTCATGTGATCAGGCGAGTGTGTATATTGACGCCATTTTGAGGGACCTCAATCATGCAAACTACAGTAGATAATGTCTAAATATGACAACAAATGTTCATATTTCCACTTATACCTACAGGTTTTAGAACCGATCACTAAAACTGACTCAAACTTGGCCTTAAAGTCTGGAAGAAGTTCATTAAAGTATTAATAAGACATGCCTGCAGAAAACTTTTATTTTTTTAATATATATTGGTAGACTGCTAATATAGAACTTGCAGTGGTTTCTAACTGTGTTTACACAAGTTAGTCCCTCAAAATGGCCACCGTTTACCCAGGTGTGCCGGCAGATTCATTATATTATTATTATTATTATATTTATAATTCTCTCTCTGGCGCAGCTTAAGGCCTGCTCTTTGCTGCAGTTTTATCCATGATGTTGAGCACATCGTCCAGGATGGACGGGCCCAGGTCCAGCTCGAGGGAGAGGAGCGACCCGGTGATCTGGGTCAGGGAATCCTCCGACGAGCTCTTCTCTTTGGAGAGCTCCAACTCAAACTCCTCCACCCCACTGTCCCTGTCCACCCACCCTTTATTGCACTTGGAGAGCTCCTGCTTGTAGCCCAGGAAAATGTCATTGCGAAAGTGTCCGTACCCGTTGCAGTTACCATTTTCATTGCAGTTACCATTGAAACCCCGGCTGCTGTTGCAGATCTTGCTTTGAAAGTCCCCGTAATAGCTGCTGTTGGTGCCCCCGTTAGAGTAACAAATGCCATCGTTGGTGCCCCTGTTAGAGTAGTGGATGCCATCGTTAGTGCTTCCATTCGAGTAAGGGATGTCGTCGTTGGTGTCCCCGATGGAGTAATGGATGCCATCATTGGTGCCCCCGTTAGAGTAATGGATGCCATCATTGGTGCCCCCGTTAGAGTAATGGATGCCATCATTGGTGCCCCCGTTAGAGTAATGGATGCCATCGTTGGTTTCTCCATTGAAGTAAGGGATGTTGTTGTTGGTGCCCCCGTTGGAGTAATGTACACCGTCATGGGTACCTCCATTGGAGTAAGGGATCTCATTGTTGGTGCCCTTGTTAGAGTAATGGATGCCATCATTGATACCTCCATTGGAGTAATGGATGCTGTCATTGGTGCCTCTACTGGAGTAAGGAATCTCATCGTTGGTGCCCCTGTTAGAGTAATGGATGCCGTCATTGGTACCTCCGTTGGAGTAAGGAATCTCATCGTTGGTGCCCCCGTTAGAATAGCAGATGCTGTTGCTGTGAGCGTTGATAAAAAAGGATGGTGCTTTGTCGAATCCGTTTAACTTGTTGGCCTTGGCGATTGCTTTATCCGTGTTTTCCAGCAGGTCCAGGAGGACGTCTGGTTTCGAGGGGATGTCCGTGAAGGGAGATGATGGCTCACTGCCGAAGACGTCCAGGGAGCGCAGGAGGGCATCCACCTGCAGGATCTCCACGTCCTCTGGGTTCTCGACCTTTGGCGGTCCCATGATGTCTTCCAAGGGTTCTGGCGGAAGACCGGAGGAGATTGGCGGCAGAGTGAGAGCCTGGCAGCCGCCGATGGTCGGCAGTGAGATGGCATTTTTGAGTACAGGAGAAGGCGTCTCTGGAAAGAAAGCATCCCCTGGGGTGTTCACGGGCAGGAACTCAGACTGGATGCCGAACTGACGGTGGATGTCCCCCTTCCCGGGCAGGAGCTCAAACTTTCCCTGAAGGAAGGACATGTCTCCGAAGACGTCCTTCTCCCCGCCCCTGCCGATGTGGATGGTGTGGCGAAAGTCCCCAAGCGGCGGGCTGATCATGTCGGGGGACAAAATGTCTCTCAGGCGGCATTTTTTGCCCTTCTTACTGTTGGTGGGTTTCAGATATATGGGCGCTTTAGCTGGCATGGCTGCTTCTGGATACGGAGCTGTCTTCAATGTTCAGGACAGGAGATTGAGTTACGTTCTCAGAAACATGCTGCTGCTCAGCGGGACTCCGTCTGGGTCTGGATTTCTTAGCAGGGCCGATGAGGCTCAGGAAGTGGGTGGTTTTCTGAAATCAGAGACAAAAATCAGAAAAAAAAAATCAAGATTTATCTGAAACAAGAAGAGTTAATTATTATCACCTGCTGCCCTTGAGTCTTTTAAATAACCACTGTATCTCTACAACTGATCAACCCTTGAAGCCAAGACGCTGCCAGCACACATTCTGGAAACAAAATCTCTGAATCTTCCAAGAAATCAGAAATCCTCCTGCTCATTGTTGGATCAGGAGGATTTTCTGTTCAGCAGAGCCTCTTCTGGCCTCTGAACGTGCTAATGTGGAACATCTGGAATCAGAAACACAGAGTGTGGGGGGTGTTCGGGGGTGACGGGGTGTGTGGG